ATCGGTCTCACCTACTGTTAAAGTACGTGAAACCATTCGGTTTCACTATGATTTATGGCATCTGTGAGCTTTCGCTTGCATAGCCTTGCATTGAATGTTTGACCTCTATGCATATGTTATCTGAACTTAAAGTTTAGATAGGGGAAAATTTCTATGCAACAAATGCCATCAAATTAAAATTGGTGCCAAATGTATGAGAATGTTTATAATGTTTTCCAGATAGGGTTATGGCTTCCTGTTTGGATTTAAATAAGAGCTGAGATATTTTATCAGTTCTTACATGTTATACATAAGAACTTTGAGCCAAGTTAGTAGATATAAAATTGCTTTCGGGCGCCATAACATCAAATTAGCCCATTGTCTGGATTTGGTTTGGAATCAGGATAGCATCTCCACAAAGTATTTGGATTGGGCTTTAATTCATTCACATTCCATGGTGGCTCTGCACTAGAGTCTAGAGACAAAACGACAATTGATTATTGCACAAAGTTGAGAAACGTGCGAGAAGCAAGAGTTCCGAGAAAAGTTATTAATATCCTTTGATAAAGCTTCGATTTTTTATAAAAATACGGTATATATTAATATTAGCTCTTTTGATGTATTATTTTAATTTTTTTAATTTAATATAAATATATTTATAAATATGAACGTATTTTTATATTATAATATTATTAATAATTTATAAAATAAATATATAATATTTTTAAAAATTAAATAAATAAATTTAAAAATAAAAAATAACATCATAAAATTTTTATAATATTTTTAAACATTTAATTTATATATATGATATCTAAATAAATTTTTTCATGTAAATATTAAGATAATACAAAAAGATCAAAAAAATTAACAAAAATTTTATGATTATTAAGCTTTATAAAGAGAGTATAATTATTTCTTAAAAAAAATACTTATAAATTTTAATTTTAAAAAATAAATTATAAAATTATAAACTTTTATTTAAAGAAATAAAGTATAAAAGAGAATAAATTATAATAAAAATAAATTTATTTTTTATGATTATTTTCCAAATTAATTTTTATCAAATTAAAAATAAATTAAAATTTATATAATATATTTTATATTTATATATCAATCAAACACATTAATTCATTAAAATTTATTAAAATCAGTCAAAATTAATAAAAATAATTAATATTACTTAATATCAAATTTAATATAAAAAATTATTTTTAAATATATCATATTTTAATATAATTAAGATACGAGAGATGTCAACCAAAATTATCAACTATAGTTTCGAGTCAAAAGAAAATGTCGTGGGCACCGATTGTAGCATCTAGATGATAGGAATCAGACAGGGGGCTCGTGCAGTCCCATCGTGCGTTACATCTCAAAAAGAAGGAAGGGCAGCGAAGGACGAAGGTGACATCAGCTGCGCCTATTTCATTCCACGTCCTGTACTAGAGTCTTCTGACAAGTTAACACCTGTCGGATCATCGGCCCAACATAAATTTGTTTGCTAATTTAATGCTTTTATCAACTAAATATAAAATATTTTGCGAACGAATATGTTAAAACACTATTTAATATTACTATTTTAAATACGTTAACTATTTACTTGAAAATAGTATTTTAAGTAGACATAGGTTAGGCTAATATTTAAAAAACTGTAATTACTCCCGGGGCTCACTTTTTTATTTTAAAATAATATAAATTATTTTTCTTCTTTTTTAAACAAAAATTTTTATAAAATATAAAATATAAGTCTAATAAAAGGATTAATTGTTTGACATTAAGACTCTACTATTATATTTGTCAAAAAAAAAAAGTCTACTATTATATATTGTTATAGATTTAATTATATTTAGTTAAATACCTACAATACCTAGGTTAAAAAAATATTTAATATTTATTTTACATTCAAATAAATTTTTAACCTTTATTTTGCTCAAAAATAAATTTTTTAATTTTAATTTATATCCAAATAAGCTTTTGTCTTTTAATTTGTATTTCACTAAAACTTTAATATAAATTAATATTTTGTTTAAAATAAATAAATACTTAGATACAAATCAAAAAATAAAAATTTAATTTGGTATAATAAAAATATAAGAACTTAATTAAATAAAGTAATAAAATTTATGAAATTTTTTAATATTTTAATTTATTTAATATTATAATTTTATACCCAATTTAACCCTCATATCATATTTTAAGATAAATATTAGTTTTCCATAAATTAAATTTTAATTTTTCAAGGGATAATTTTAATCTATTGTATAGATTATTTGAAGCGATAAAATCTACATGGGTAGGTATAAATTTCTAAATACATGATTAAAAATATGGGGACCGAATCAATTAATTCTCAATATTTTAGGCTTGCCTTGTGGTTATCATTTGTCAAACTTTTTTTTTTTTTCTTTTCTAGAATTTCTTATCTTAGAAAAGGATTTTACAGCACACCTTACTGCCTTACATACAATGAGAAATGTAATTTAGTTCATAATATATGAAAAAAGATTCTATACACCAAATTTAGATCGAATGTATTAGCACCAAGTTTTAAATGCTTTGAACAGGTATGATTATGAATGATGGCAATCGGCTCCTTTACTCAATGATAAAGAGAGGAAATCTCACAACTTTTTAGATTTTAGATTTAAGATCTATCAATTTTTGTCAATTAATTATATGTTAATTCGTTGGTCAATTTTCATTTGGTTAACATCAACAAGTGTAAATAAGTTATTAATAAAGCTTTCTTCAACAAAAAAAAAAAAATTATTAATAAAGCTTAAACTTGAATATCATTTATGTTGCGATGAACGACTTTGTTAATCAAATTAATTACTCTACTAGTTCCTTTATAAATATTCGCATTTAATCTCAACTTAATTTCAATTGTTTTTTTTATTTTAAAAGAAAAAAATATTGCATTATCTTTATACTAGATTGTGATCTATGTGATATATGAAATAATTTTACTTATTTCATGTGTATATACATGTAAATTAGTTTTTTTTTTAATTTCTTTAAATTTCAAATTTTATATATCTGACTAACTTGTCATAAAAAATAATTGTTTTAAAAAAAGCATGAAGAAAATGACATGTTTTTACTTTTGCACCCTCTTTATTTGCAATAATATTTATACACCTAAAATTTATATCAAATAACAATAAATTACATGTCTTTCTTAAAAAAAATAAAAACATATATATTTCGAATGATGAATTAAATAATAAAAAAAAGTATAGGCATACTTTCACTTTTATAATCTTATTCAAATTATTGTACAAAATATGAAAACATATTAAGAGATGTGTGAAAAAATAAATTGAAAAAAAAATAATTTTCATAAGAACAAACTTATAATAATAATAGAATATACTTTGAAAAAAAATACAAACCAAAAAATAAATTGCAACAGCAAATGAATTCCAAAAGTTGCAAATCAAAAAATTAAAAAAAAAATGATATAACACATTATAATTATAGTTTTAATTTGTAGAATAACTCTTAAATGACACATTATAGAATTGAATAAGTAACACATTATTTGACACATTATAGGATTAAATAAGTAATTTTTAATTTGATATTTAAAAAAAAATTAAAAGAATATAATAAGGAATAAAAATTAAATCAAAAATTTTGCCTATTTACTATATATAAAATTAATAGTTAGAGTTGAGATGGATATAGGTCTTATTGTTTAGAGATTTAATATGAAAATAATATTTGAAATTTTAATATTTTATGTAAATTTTTTAAAATATAATTTTTATTTGATACAAATTAAGATAAAAGAATATAGTGAGTTTTTTAAAAATTCGGATAAATTTAATTTTTATAGTTTTAAAACATGTCAAAAAAAATTTATAATTAAATAATTTATAAAATAAAATTATTGGGTAAAAAATTAAAATTATTCAGATAAAATTAATATTTCAAAATTGTAATTTTAATAAAAATAGATATCTTTAGATTAATTTAATTTGTAATTATAATTTAAATAATTTTTTATATTTGAATAAATTCAAAATTATCCAATTTATAATTAAAAGAAATTATATTTTTTAAAATATTATTTTATATGTCATCTAAAAAGGTTATCCGCATAAAAATATGTGTTAAACTTTATTAAATATTTATGTATATTATAATATAATCATATATATAATGTGTAGTCCACCGATTGGAGAATAAAAGTCTTTTTGGCCTTTTTTGATACATGCATACGAAACCCCCTTCTCCCCCCCTAATTAAGGAACTCCCTTTAGGGCAATAGACAAGCAGCCCATATCGTATTGCGGGTTAGGCAAGCATTGCCCTGAAGTATAAATACAACACACACACACACATTTTTTACACACGTAATTCATTCTTCTGGAAAAAACAAATAATCATGTTGGTTAATTTAAATTGATAAAATCATTGACTGTAACTTGATAGCTGTTATCAAATAATTTTTTCGGCATAAGGTATATCTGATGATTAAGCATTTATATAAACAAAAATTATATAAATTTGTAAATTGTGATGAAAAAAATGCTATCTTTATCAGTCTAGAAGGAAGTTTTTGCACGTCAACAATTATGTCTGTAATACTGTTAAAATAAGAATCTCAAGTTCATATGAGCGTTGCACTATAACATATATATTGGCATATACATGACTCTAATTCTTTTTAGTATCAAATCTTCTCTCAATTTCTTCTCCCTAGCATAGAAGAGAAAATTTAGAAGCAAACTAGTTGAAACGAAGGAGATTTCCACAACCTTTCCTTCCATCTAGAGTTTAAAATAATCGAAAACTATTATAAACTTCAAAATTGTATCTGGCACATATTCAACGGATATGAATTGATTATCATGTATTTTTTGAATTTACGTAATTTAATTTCAATATATTCATGAGTTATTTTTGTACTAATTGTGTTAAGTTTTCAATGATATCTTGGATATTATTTTTCATTTTTCAGAAAACTTAATCCAGGTGAATTTAGAAGACAATAATATGGATGATACAGAGAAAGTAAGAACTTCTAGAAGTAGATCAAGCCATAACAACATGAGCAATAGCATTAGGAGCAGCTTGAGCAGTACAGCAAGGAGAACGGAAGATGTTTTCGCAGGAGCATCTCGAAACTGTCGAGCTCAAGAAGAAGAAGAAGAAGAAGAAGCTCTCCAATGGGCTGCTATAGAGAAGTTGCCAACTTATGATCGGTTAAGAACAAGCATCATCAAGTCTTTTGTGGCCGGGAGTGATCACCATGGCCATGGCAACGACGACAAGCTTGCTCCGAGAGAAGTTGACGTTAGAAAGCTTGACATGGATGATCGGCAGAAGTTCATTAATGCACTGTTTAAGGTTGCCGACGAAGACAATGAGAAGTTCTTGAAGAGGTTTAGAAATAGGGTTGATAAGTAAGTTCTCTTATTCAATATCTACCAACGTTTTTTTTTTTTTTTCTCAAATAAAAACTGATGACAAATTTAAATTCGATATATATATAAGCGATGTTATTATATTCAATATTTTACCTGTTGACTTTGCTATGTATTAATCGATTTTCTTTTATTTTATTCAAAGTTTTTTATTTGTGTAAGTAATTTATTCAAAGTTTATTATTTAATGGTTTCATCTTGAAACTTTTTCTTGATAGTCTTAAAATCAAATAATGAAAAATAAAAAGAGAGTTGAGAATAGGGTTGTAATAAAATTAAGCTTTTGTGAACTATTTGGATTTGATTTCATGAATACTCTTTACTCATCCACTATTAAATTATGATTGAGCCACTCAAATAACGAATCAAGTTTAATTTATAAAAATTTTTCAAATGGCCTTGCTCATATTACGTTTTTAATTTTTTTAATATTATATTCATATGTAATAGATATGTATTTATATATTTAAAACTTAATTAAGCTTTTATCTCAAATTCAAATTTAAATTTGAATCAAATTTTGAGTTCTTTTATAAAATTAATGATATAATAGGGTCAAGTTCAAGAAGTTTTATTATTTTACAATTCTCTAATTTTTTAATCGATCCAAGCTCAAATTTGACAAATTCAAATTTATTTCACCTCTAATCACAAAGATATAATTTATAAGGCAATATTGAAGCGTACATTACATTACTCAAAACTCAATATACAAGTCTTGGTATCTACCAAAGAGAATAGAAGATTCTCTATAGTAACCCCCACCCCTCTTCCAACCCTAATTAATACGTGTCCTTTAGGTAGGCAAGACTATGACTATTAATGTAATCTTATTTGCAGGGTGGGAATTCAACTTCCGACAGCGGAAGTTAGGTTTCAGCATTTAAACATTGAAGCTGACACCTATATGGGCAGCAGAGCTCTTCCAACTCTTGCAAATACGGCTCAAAATATTGCAGAACTAGCTCTTGGTATGGTTGGCATCAGATTGGCCAAGACAACCAAACTTCATATACTTAAGGATGTCTCTGGTATTATAAAACCATCCAGGTAATTAATTAATCAAAGCCCAATTAAGTCTGTTAATTTTTAAAGCTAAAGTGTGGTTGAAAATAGTTTATATATATCCAAACAATAATACAAACATTAAATTGCATTTAAGATTCGTTTTATTTTAGTTTTCATGGTGAAGATTCAAATCTTGATAATTTCAAATAAAAATATATTTTTATGTATTAAATTAAATAAGATTGAGAGATATGCCCTTTTATGTCTGCATCAAAATAAATAAAATAAAGACAATTTACTTATCAATTTTATCTTATCTTTTTTATTTATAATTTATTTTAAAATACAACCTTTAAAGAAATAAATACCAAAAAAAAAAAAGATAAAAGGCCATTTGGTAGGTAAATTACAAACTCACAATTGCTTGAATGGTTTTGTTATTCCTATTTATATATATATATATATATATATATATATTAATATTACCTTATAAATGCATAATGGTAAAAGGACCCTCTACAAAGGTCTAGTCTCTGTATATACTTTATATATAAAGTTAATTTATTGGCATAAAGCCTCTTACAAGATTCTATGAGGAAGATTTTTTTAATTTGAATTTTTGCTTATTTATCATTTACCATTCGATTCGACATAATCACTTCGATTGTTCCATTACAGGATGACCCTTTTATTAGGCCCACCATCTTCTGGGAAAACAACCCTTTTGCTTGCATTGGCTGGAAAATTGGGTCCAAGCTTGAAGGTAAACAATCACACGAGATATCCTATAAACGTTATTCAAGCTAGCCACGGAACTGATCCATAGCTTGCATTAATTTATTAAACTAACGAATTTGAAACTGGATTCTAAACAGGTTAGTGGGGAAGTAACCTACAATGGATACAAACTCAATGAATTTGTGCCCCAAAAGACCTCTGCATATATTAGCCAAAATGATGTTCATGTTGCAGAAATGACAGTAAAAGAAACCTTAGATTTCTCAGCAAGGTGTCAAGGGGTTGGAAGTCGATATGGTACCATAGCTAAATTACTAGGCATTTATGCTTACAGACACATTTATTCGATGATTTTTAGTTAGTAGCTAGATACTGAGATAATTAACCTGTTAATCATTGTTATGTATATAACAGATCTTCTAAGTGAACTTGCAAGGAGGGAAAAGTATGCAGGAATTTTCCCTGAAGCCGAAGTAGACCTTTTCATGAAGGTAAATGCTACAAAGCAATTAAAATTAAAAACTGAGCACCTAATTTAGGTGTAATTTTATAAGATTTAAGATTTTTTTTCTTGGTTTAATGTACTGATCTTCAAACAACATTAAATACAAGCACTCCCTCACCACATGAATAATGTCTTAATTCTTTTGTCATTTCAAAATCTTCTTTTTAATGGTGTTACTATACTATGTACCATTAATTTACTAATTTTTTTAATTATTTAAGATTATCAGAATTTGAATCCAAATCACTTAAAATAAAAATTCAGTACTATACCATTAGATCACAAGGCTATTGGCATTAACTTACGGACATAGTTCTTAAAACATTTTATATTTGCAAAATCACTTAATTCAAATTTCAATAAACAAAAGATTGGAGATAAACAGGTCAAAGATGAAAGTCTTTTACCTTGCCAAGTCAAAAGAAGACAATAATGTATGATTTTAAGGTTTAACCAATACCCTCATTTCACTATTTTATTAATGTTAATCTGATCCGCTTGGCAATTCCAGGCAACTGCAATTGAAGGAGCTGAAAGTAGTCTGGCTACTGACTACATTCTCAAAGTAAGATTAAGTATTAATTTATAGCCAGATATGAACATTAAATCCATATATACTTATGCCATTGTTTTATTTCTTTCAAATTTCAAAAGAAAATTGATTTTTATACCGAATGAAATGTTTAGATGCTGGGGCTGGACATATGCAAGGATACGATTGTTGGAGATGAGATGCATCGAGGAGTATCTGGTGGACAGAAAAAAAGAGTAACAACAGGTTAAATTAGCTATGTGTAATTAACCAATTAATCATAATCAATTTTTTGCTTTCATTCCATTAGAAGAAATTTTAATTCCATATTTAATCAAAATAATGCAGGGGAGATGATCGTTGGGCCAACCAAAACACTGTTCATGGATGAGATATCAACCGGCCTAGATAGTTCAACAACATATCAAATTGTCAAGTGCTTGCAACAGATAGCACATCTAACAGATGCAACAATCTTTATGTCCCTACTCCAGCCTGCTCCTGATACTTTTGATCTCTTTGATGATATAGTACTCATATCTGAAGGTCAAATTGTCTATCAAGGCCCACGAGAGCATGTAATTGAATTCTTTGAGAGTTGTGGGTTCAAATGTCCTGAGAGGAAGGGAACTGCTGATTTCTTGCAAGAGGTAATGTAAAAAAAATCATTTTAACCAAGTCTACTTAGTAGTGCAATGGGAGTCCTTTCCCACCACACTGGAGTGCGAAAACATCATGGTTTTACTGTCAAAACGGCATTCCAGCGTCGGATCAGTGTCAAAATGATACTCTTAACACGGTAGGAAGAGACTCCTAAACGGTGCTACCAAATGCATCTTAGAAGTACTGACACAATCTTTTGCACAAGAAAAGGGAGAGGGGGGATCTCGAAAATGTCTTGATCCTATAATAAAAGGAAAATTGGAGACTCTGCAAGGTTTTTGGTTCAATCATAGGTGTAGGAGGCATCATATTAAGAACTCAAAACTTATGAGCAAATGCTACTGTTGCAGGTTACTTCAAAAAAGGACCAAGCGCAGTATTGGTCAGACAGAAGCAAACCATATCGCTATATTCCAGTTACTGAGTTATCAACTAGGTTCAAGAAGTTCCATGTTGGGGTGCAGCTGGCAAACGAGCTCTCAGTGCCTTTCGACAAGTCCAGAGGCCACAAAGCAGCCTTAGTCTTCACAAGATATTCAGTGCCAAAACTTGAACTTCTTAAGGCATGCTGGGATAAGGAAGTGTTAGTGATCAGGAGAAACTCATTCTTTTATGTCTTCAGGACAAGTGAGATTTTTATTGTAGGTTTCCTTGCATCAACAGTGTTTCTCAGGACTAGAATGCATCACAGGGATGAACAAGATGGAATGCTTTACAATGGAGCACTTCTGTTTTCACTAATTACCAACATGTTCAATGGTTATCCTGAGATTGTACTTATGATCGCCAGGCTTCCCGTTTTTTTCAAGCAAAGAGACCTCTTACTCTATCCAGCTTGGGCATTCGCCATCTCATTGGTCGTGACAAAAATACCTATAGCCATTTTGGAGACTATTGCTTGGATGGCAATAACATACTACCCCATAGGATTTGCACCAGGGGCTGACCGGTATCAAACCATATCTCTGATTCCATTAATTGGTTATGCAAAATATTAGCCCTTAAAATAAGTTCTGAATCATCTGTCAATTTTTCTTGTAGCACTAAACTAGAAAGTTTTCCTTGTCCATTTGCAGGTTTTTCAAGCAAATGCTGGTGGTACATCTGATCAAACAAACGGCTGCGTCAGTATTTAGGCTCATTTCAGGGGTCTGCAGGACCATGGTTGTTTCCAACACCGGTGGAACGTTAGCTCTAATGTTTCTGGCGTTGCTCGGAGGTTTCACCCTTCCTAGAAGTAAGCACTAAAAAGAACTTTAATTTCACTCTCTTCAAAAAGGAACAAATATATAACATAGGTGCTTTATCATTCGGTATGTTAGAACTTTACACCTTGGTTTATGCATAACATGAAAGCTAGATCGGTTCAATGGATTGACTGAGGCTTACTTTCTTGGGAACAGCTCAAATTCCCAAGTGGTGGAAGTGGGGTTACTGGGTTTCACCTTTGACATATAGTTACAATTCCCTGGCTATTAATGAAATGTATGCTCCAAGGTGGATGAACAGATTGGTATGTTATTCTCAATGATCTTTCCTACATACATCAAATGATTGAAGAAAAAGATATACCGGTTTTTCTTTAAGACAAGAAACTAAAGCCAGTTAAAAATTCATGTATATTCTGATTTCAATGCAGGCTTCTGACAATGTAACCAGATTGGGGTTGGCAGTGCTTGAAAGCTTAGAAGTCTATCCTAATGAAAATTGGTATTGGATTGGTGTAGGAGCTCTTGTGGGGTTCTCTATCCTTTTCAATGTCCTCTTCACCCTGGCACTCACTTACCTGAACCGTAAGTGTAAAGCAATTTTCTTCCTTCTTTTCATTTTACCTGCCAGGATTAACTAATCTGGGATATTCTCTATATGGATTATAATAGCTCCGTCGGGTCCACAAGCAATACTTCCACAAGATTCAGCCGAAGAGACGGAAAGTAACATAGAAATGGCAATCCAAGGAATCAGAAGTCAGTCCAATTCCAATGGTATAAATAGAAATGTTAATTCGACCCAAGAAGCAGCTAAGAAGGCAATGATTCTTCCATTCACTCCTCTAGCAATGTCATTTGACAAAGTGAATTATTATGTTGACATGCCTCCTGTAAGACATCATTTTACTTTTTCACTTTGTCTTTGTTTCAATGTCATTATACACCTTATTCATAGAAGAAAGATTAACCATTCTCCTGTTTTTTCTCCTCTCATCTGAAAAAAAATCTATAAGTGATGTTTCCATTGACTGTGCAATCAAATGCTTTATAGAATGTCTCAATCCTACAGAGCATATTTCTAACTAGCTTCGTTGATTTTAACAGGAAATGAAGGCGCAAGGAGTTACGGGGAACAGGCTACAATTACTCCGAGAAGTAACTGGTGCATTCAGGCCTGGAGTTTTGACTGCTCTAATGGGAGTCAGTGGAGCTGGAAAGACAACACTGATGGATGTTTTGGCTGGAAGAAAAACTATTGGATACATTGAAGGTGACGTCAGAATCGCAGGATTCCCCAAAAAGCAAGAAACGTTCGCCAGAGTCTCTGGATATTGTGAACAAACTGATATACACTCACCCCAAATCACGGTCAGGGAATCCTTGATTTATTCAGCTTTCCTTCGACTTCCTAAAGAAACTAATAAAGTAGAAAAACTGGTAAGAGTGCTAATTGTATAATTACAACTTAAGTACTAAAGTGTATGACATGAAATTAAGTGCAAAATCAATATTTTTCTTGTGTTTTTTCTCTTTTAGACTTTTGTGAATCAAGTGATGGAACTGGTAGAATTAGACAATCTCAAAGATGGTCTAGTAGGGCTTCCAGGAATTACAGGGCTGTCAACAGAACAGAGAAAAAGATTGACAATTGCCGTGGAGCTTGTTGCTAATCCTTCAATTATTTTCATGGACGAACCTACCTCTGGTCTTGATGCAAGGGCAGCAGCCATCGTCATGAGGACTGTGAGAAACACTGTGGATACTGGAAGAACTGTCGTCTGCACAATTCATCAGCCTATCATCGATATATTTGAAGCATTTGATGAACTACTACTGATGAAAAGAGGGGGACAAGTAATCTACTTTGGACAACTAGGTCGAAATTCTCAAAAGATTATTGAATATTTTGAGGTAATATATCATTCTCAAACTAATGTATGAAAAAAACAACTGCATTAGTTGTATCTGCTCCGACAGAAATCCAACTAATTCATCTGAACTCTTTGCAGGCAATTCCTGGAATTCCCAAAATTAAGGAGAAATATAATCCAGCTACCTGGATGCTAGAAGTAAGTTCAGTGGCAGTTGAAGCAAGGCTTGGAATCGACTTTGCTGAGCATTATAAGTCATCATCTTTCTATCAGTAAGTTATTGTTTGATGTTCACAAGATAGTTTTTATGCTTTTGTTGATTTTAAGCTAATATATATGTATTTGAGCAGGCAAAACCAAGCTTTAGTAAAGGAGCTAAGCATACCACCACCTGGAGCAAAAAACCTCTATTTCACCACTCAATATTCTCAGTCCATGTGGGGGCAATTCAAATGTTGCCTCTGGAAGCAATTCAAAACATACTGGAAAACTCCTGAATATAACCTAGTTAGATTAGGTTTCACTTTGGTTGCCGCTTTAATCATTGGATCAATTTTCTGGAGATTTGGCACAAAAATGTCTGCCTCTTCTCTTTCACCTTATTGATTACATTGATAACAATAATCAGGATGTCTCCTAAATGACTCGTTCTTTTCTTTTCTCCTTTTTTCATTTTTTTTACTGTTCTGTGGTTTAGGAAGGACGCAACTGAACTTACCATGATAATTGGAGCCATGTATACAGCTGCCATGTTTCTAGGAGTTAATAACTGCCAAACTGCCCAGCCGGTTGTTGCCATTGAAAGAACCATATTCTATCGAGAAAGAGCAGCTGGAATGTACTCTGTATTACCTTATGCCCTTGCACAGGTGAGAGGAAGTGATGGTTTATATTTTTATCTGGTTTACTATTTCAGTACTTGATTTTGGTGACATGAAGGCACAAATTCTCTTGTCGTATAAGCGACTATAAATCTAGATTTCGGAGCATTCAGGCACGGTAGTGATTAATATCTCCTAGATTCAATAATCAGCCATATACTCAACAGGATGACAACCGGAGTCAGTGTATTTTAATGTGGCATGCAGGTAATAGTAGAAATACCATTTGTGTTAGCCCAATCATCCTATTATACACTTATCGTGTATGCTATGATCAAGTTCAAATGGACGGCGAAAAAGTTCTTCTGGTTCTTTTTTGTCAACTTTTTCACCTTTCTTTACTTCACATATTATGGGATGATGACTGTCGCCATCACACCAAACGTCCAAGTAGCAGCTACCCTATCATCAGCTTTCTATTCACTCTTTAATCTTTTCTCCGGCTTCTTCATCCCAAGACCGGTATGTTATCTTGTTTCACAAGCAAATATGTGTTGGAATAATCCCAACAATGCATGATGAAAGAAATTCATTTTCTTTGAAATTTCAGAGAATCCCTGGGTGGTGGATATGGTACTACTGGATTTGCCCAATGGCATGGACAATCTATGGACTGATTGCCTCCCAGTATGGAGATGATGAACGCACCATTAAAGTACCAGGCATCGAGCCTGACCCTACTGTTAAATGGTACGTGAAACACCATTTCGGGTTTCACTATGATTTCATGTGGGCAGTCGCTGGAGTTTTGGTTGCCTTCCCTGTGTTCTTTGCATTCATGTTTGCCTTGTGCATCAAGGTTCTGAACTTCCAAGTTAGATAGGGGAAAAACTCTATGCAACAAATACCCTCAAATTAAAATCGGTGCCAAATGTATGAGAATATTATGTTTTCCAGTCCCAGATGCTGTTTCTGAATATAGGGTCATGGTTTTCTGTTTGGATTTAAATAAGAGTTATATTTTATCAGTTTTTACAATATATACATAACTTTGAACAAAGGCAGTAGGTAGGAAATTGCTTTCGGGCGCAATAACATCAAATTAGCCCATTGTATGGGTTGGTTTGGAATCGGTATGGCAACTCCACAAAGTATTTGGATTGGGCTCTAATTCATTCACATTCCATTGTGAAGCTGTACTAGAGTCTAAAGTCAAAACGACAATTGATTATTGCACAAAGTTGAGAAACGTGCGACAAGCAGGGGTATCGAGTCAAAAGGAAATGCTGAGTGGGCCCCAATTGTAGCATCTCGATGATTACGAATCCGACAGGGGGCTTGTGTGGTGCAGTCGTGCGTTACATCACAGTAAGAAAGGAGGGCAACGAAGGACGAAGGTGATATCAGCTGCGGCTATTTCATACGACGTCCTGTCCTGAGGTCCTCTTACAAGCTAGCACGTGTCGAAACATCGACCAGCAAAAGTCTAGCAACCATTAAGAAAGTGGCATCGGGGCCGTGGCTTAACTTACTTTTTCCACAAATATTTTAATCAAATGGAAAATACAAGGAAGCTTGATTTACAGAGAAACCACATTACACGAAGGGAATACCCATTTCTTTTTTTATTTGAAAAAATAAGGGTTCCAATAATTTAACCATTTTTTGCAATTTGCAATACGAGATATAGTATAACTTATTATTACATTAAATACTTAATTTTATAGAATAACATAATTGTTCTTTGTAAATGCAATAACATCATATATATTAATGAAAGATTCATTTTATTAGTTAATCATATAGATGATAAATCTTAAATTCAAATTATTACATATCATATCAAATATGATATTCATATGATCAATCAAATAATTAATTATTATTACATTATGATTAAATTATAATCATTTGATAATTAATTAATAAATTAAAATATATTAAACAATTAAATTCCCTCGTATTAAAATTTAAATTTAAAACTTCAAAGTTTTAAAACATTTTATTATCACTAAGTTGAGATATAATTGCCAATAATCTTTTGTTAATTATTAACTATATATTATAAATGTATATAAAGTAACTAAACTTTTTTTTTAGAAAAATACAATATCCGGCGTGAATTAAACTCATAAATGATACGTAGGAAATGGCCCTTTAAAGCCGACTATGGCACATTTGGAAAAAGATACTTACCCATAATCACAGCCCTTTTAGAGGTCACACCAACTGCCCCTGCATTGGAATATAAGTGGTCCAATATTTATAGCACTCAGCAACAGTTCCTTTGCTTTGGAAAGGCTACGCGTTTCAACTCCCACCAAGCTTACCATTCAACGATTCAAATTCAATGTCCAAACCAAGGTCACACTTTAATAAACAAAAAGAAAATTAATACTAAACCAGGGTTTGGAAAACACACATAAGACTGCTCTATGGCTCTACCATATAATATACATGTACTTGTACTAATTAATTAATAGTATTTAATTTTCTCTATGCTTCTCAGCTTTTAGGGTCGACTATACTAGCAGTAATAATTATAATTATTATTCAGTTTAATTAAAATGCTAATCTTGGTAGGGATTGCATTATAGGATGATGATAGCCCAAAATTGGAGATAAGATCAACATTTTGTTTAGCAAGGTTGGTTTTTTGTATTTTGTTTTTTGTTTTACATGGATCTCATTTGCGTTAATACAAATAATCAGCATTTAAGATGGTAATTATATTCCATTCAACTTAACAAAAAATATATATTTTTTAAATATTTATTTATAAAAATATTGTTTGATATATATAAATAATTTTAATAATTTTTAATTTTAAAAATATTTAAAATATATTATAAATTTTAATATAATATTTTAATAACTTTATTATTATAATAATTAATTTTATCATTACTGCTATTTTTAATCTCGCTCTTCATATGTACCTAATAGATTGGAATATTTGGGAAGGTTAGACTTTGATTGGAAAAAAAAAGTCCCTTCCTGGAAGAATTTTCCATAAGGGCACAAAATCCAATTGTCAAAAGCCTCCCCCATATATATGTATAGTATTAATTCAGAAACTTTGAACTTTGAAAGAGAGTTGATTGGAAACAAAGATTAATTAATTAGACAGCATATGTTTATTTTAAAATCCGATGAGGTTTCGTCGGCTTATAGTTTTGTGTTACTTTCAAAGAAAAAAATATTGGTCACATATAGCTAACTTGTTTTAATTTTAAGTTAAATTTTGTTTTGTTTTTTATTTTCATTAAGGCTGCAGGTTTTGCTTAAAACAATGAACCCTGCAAGGGGCTTTTAAATAAAACTTTGCAGCTATCAAGGATTGAATATTTGATTCGCATATTCAATGTATATATAAAAATACTATTTGTTTTCATTATTTTTGTTTTAAATTTTATATTATCTAATTGCTTAATGTATAATTATCGATTTAATTGTAAAATTTCAATTATAAATTAATTGATTTATTTAGAAATTAATAGACCCCGTATTTAAATTTATATATATCAGTTGGTGCCATCATATTTTTCCAAGAAACCAAGTTAAGAATAAGATAACAATAAACTTAAGTCACTTCTATTGACTTATAGCTTACGTGCAATGCAACCCTTTATCACTGCCATTGGGAGGGCGAGACAATGATTTTGTTTGTTGTTAGTTTCAATGGCACACATACTAATTAAGTACTAATTGGTTTCATAATAGATATGCATACATTGCTAAGTTTTAAATAAAAAAAAAATTAAAACATCTTCTATTAGCTTAAATTTTAGAAAAATCATCTTGAAAATAATATATTTTTTATTTCCCAGCATGTAGTTTTTGCTTTAATGACGTATATTAGTGTTAGATTAACATTGGTAACAAGCTTTAAAAATAAAAATTATAGTATTAACTTTATTTTTATAATTAATTTTGTAGATATCTATCATATGAGCTTTTGATATATTAAAAATTATTTTGTCTTTTAATAAAAAATTCTCTTGATCCCTAGAAACTTTTAATTGATACCCATATGTTAAACATGCTAAAAAACAAACATGCAAATTAACTCCCCAATCCATCATTATCTTTTAGCCAATGGGATTATAATATTGTTTCATGCTTGAAGTAAAAAAAATAAAAATTAAAAAGAAAAGATAGAGAGAGAGAGAGAGAGAATGAATAAACGATGGAAGAGATTGAGACACTGTCTAACTATCATTTTTTAGGTAGCTTGTTTATTGTATAATCTCTAGGGTCTAGACCTAAATTTGTTTGCTAATTTAATGCTTTTATCGGCTAGATATAAAATGAATGTATTTAAACACTTTTTAAAACTATTATATTGAATATTTTACCTATTTACTTGATAAAAGTATTTTAAGTGGGCATAGGTTAAGATAATATTTTTAAAAAATTGTACTATATAAGTATTTATCTTTAAATTTAATAAAAATAATATATTAAATGTAAAAAAAATTTCTACAATAATATTTTAACTGTTCTTAGATAGTGTTTGTGGATATCCGAATCTTTTAACCAAAATTAAAAGAAAAAAAATTTCTAAAAGCATTTGTTAGCCAACTTCACATAAAACTATACCTTAGATAAAATAGTAGGTGTCCCTCGTGTGTAGGGACATCAATTCAATCTGTCTCCAATAGATTTTGATCCGATTTAATTTTATAAGATGGATTTTTTTTTTTTGAAATTCAAATTTCGAATCGGGTGAGATTGGATAATGTTAGAAAACAATTGAGGTCTGATCGGATTCAAATTTTAGACAAATTCGATCCGATCCGATATGATATAAAAAATTATTTTTTAATTATATTTTAAAAATAATATTTTATTAATTTCGAGTCGAATCGAATACTGTTTATATAATATCGGATCGGATTTGAGTATGAAAAAACAATAAAAAAATTTGAGTAAGGTCGGATTCGGGACAAAAAAAATCCATCTCGAACCCGACTCGATGTCAACTCTACTTGTGTGTAAATCAAGGTACAACATAGAATTTAAACACATATAAGTAACTTGCCGGTGATTTTGTCTTAAAATGATCAAATTTCCAACTACCATTCCATTCCATTCCAATTTCTACATGGTTTTGCCATGCCCACCTACCCTAGAATACCAAAGTAGCAAGTTCCTTTTCATGCGGGTAGTAAATTTTCTTTTTCCTAACTAAGACAATAAAGAAAGGGGGAGGAGAAAAGAGAGGAAAAACATGATGCTCAATTCTCAATGATTGGTGAATCATACGTAGATGGAATTATGAGTTGACTAAGCAGGGGTATAATGCAAGAATAACACATAATAAAATTTAGATTTTGATGTTATGTTGAATATTAAATTTAGAATTAATTGATAATAGATGAAATGATAAAATTTAAATATAAGATTATAAAAAATTTAAAAATTAATAAATATGAGATAATATCATTTTAACAATAAAATTTAAGACTAAATTTATTATTATGTTATTGATTAATATTGAAATTCATCATTATAGTTTTTATTTTGTTGATTTTTTATATTAAAAAAATTATAAAAAAATTTTCCACTTGCATTAGTGAAATATTTTATAGAGTGTTCCAAAAACCATGACTTTTTTAAAAATTCAACAAAATTAAAAATATAATGATAAAAATCAATAAAATTAATATGACAAAATTAGATATTAAATTACAATGTAATGGCCAATTTGATCTTAATCTCTCGATAATATTATTATCTATATTTCCCTATTCTTAATTCATAATTAATACATAACCATTCAAATGATTTCCATGAAGAAAATGTATAACATTTTTAAAGAGAGAGAGAGAGAGACTTTAACTATAGAGAGGGTTTCAAAAATTGCTCATATTCTAAATTATCACTCTCATTTTCTTACTTCAATATT